AATTATTTGGACAGTAATAATTATATAAATATTGGGTCCTCACAGGATATTCTCCATGTTCATCACAAGATGGCAGGATATATCCAGTTTTACAACTTTGAGAGACAGAGAGTGAGTGAGTGAGTGAGTGAAAGAGAGAGAGAGAGAGAGAGAGAGAGAGAGAGAGGGAGGGAGGGAGGGAGGGAGGGAGAGGGAGAAGAGGAAGGGACGGAGAGGGAAGGGATTATGAGTACAGGTAGTCTTCAACTTAGAACAGTTCGTTTAGTGACTGTTCCAAGTTATAATGGCACTGAAAATAGTGACATGACCATTTTTCACACTTATGGCCGTTGCAGCATCCCCATGGTCATGTGATTTACATTCAAATGCTTGACAACTGACTCATATATATGACGGTTGCAGTTTCCCGGAGTCATGTGATCCCCTTTTGCGACCTTCTGACAAGCGAAGCCAATGGGGAAACCAGAGTCACTTAACAACCATGTTACTAGCTTAACAACTGCAGCGATTCACTTAACAAATAGTTAAGATTCACTTAACTATTGTAATGCTCTCTACATGGGGCTCCCCTTGAAGAGCACTCGGAGGCTCCAACTGGTCCAGAATGCGGCCGCGCGGGTGGTTATGGGCGCAACTCGTTGTGCCCGCGTGACACCCCTCCTGCGCGAGCTGCACTGGCTCCCAGTGGTCTTCTGGGTGCGATTCAAGGTGTTGGTTACCACCTTTAAAGCGCTCCATGGCATAGGACCCAGGTACCTTCGAGACCGTCTTCTGCCACCAATAGCCTCCCACCGACCAGTCCGTTTCCACAGAGAGAGTCTCCTCAGGGTGCCATCAGCGAAGTTATGTCGGCTGGCGACACCCAGGGGGAGGGCCTTCTCTGTGGGAGCCCCAGCCCTGTGGAATGAACTGCCCCCGGAAATACGTAAGATCTCCGACCTCCGGGTGTTTCGCTGCGCGCTGAAGACCCTGTTGTTCCGCCAGGCAGGGCTATCAACATAATAATTTTAAATTGGGGTATTTTAATTTTTGGGGTTTTAAATCGGCCAAATCTATTTAATTATTTTAATTTTTAATCATTGTTGTGTCCTGTGTTTTTAAATTGGCTGTACACCGCCCTGAGTCCTTCGGGAGAAGGGCGGTATAGAAATAAAATTATTATTATTATTATTATTATTATTATTATTATTATTATTATTATTATTATTATTATTAAATGTGGCAAGAAAAGTCGTAAAATGGGGCAAAACTCACTTAACAAATTTCTCACTTAGCAACATAAATTTTGGGCTCAATTGTGGTTGTAAACTGAGTACATACCTGTATTTAGCCTCCTTTCAAAAATTTCTAAATTCAAAAATCGGGGCAAAATTTTTTGGATATACCATAGAACTAGATAAACTTTGGGATAGAAACTATAAATTGACAATGGCAACTACAAGGAAAAGCTGTATAAAATGTTTTATAGGTGGCATTTGCCACCGGCAAAGCTAGCAAAGATGTTTAAAAACATGTCCACCAAATGTTGGAAATGCAACCAGATACCGGGCTCGTACTATTATATGTGGTGGACTTGCCCAAAGGCAAAAAATTTTGGGACAAAAATACACATATGGTTAGAGAAAATGATAAGCAACATATAGACTTAAAGCCAGAAATGTTTTTGTTATGTATTTTGCCAGAAAAATATAATAAAGGGAATGTATATTTACATGTTTTGATGGCAGCGAGAATTGTATTTGCACAATACAATTGTGCAAATACAATTCCACATTCTGGAAAAATGAGGAAACTCCGTCAGATGAAAATATAATCAAAAAATATAAGACTGTGAGGAAATGGATAGGTTAACCCTAAAGATAAAGGATAAAAAAGACATAGAATATTATTTAATTTGGGATTTGTTTTATCAATGGTTAGATAATAAAGGTAGAAACTAGAAGTTGGAAGAATACTATTATATACAAGTAAAGAATATTATTATTACTATTACTATGTATATGTAAAATGACCCAGACAATACACTACATCAGAGGTGGGCAAATGTGGCTCTTTTACAACCTGTGGACTTCAACTCCCAGAATTCTTGAGACAGCCAAGCTGTCTCAGGAATTCTGGGAGTTGAAGTCCACAGGTTTTAAAAGAGCCACATTTGCCCACCCCTACACTACACGGTCTATTACAGTGATGGCTAACCTTTTTGCCATCACGTGCCAAAAGTGGGGGGAGTGTGTGGGGGTCACACATGCATGTGCCCACACCCATAATTCAATTCCCCCCCACACCCCACACACACATGCGTGTGTGACCCCCTCCTTCCGCACTCCCCCCGCTTTTGGCACACGACGGCAAAAAGGTTACTGGTGGGCCCGGTATGCCTGTTTTTCACCCTCCCCAGGCTCCAGAGGCTTTCTGGAGCCTAGGGAAGGCGAAAATGGCCTTCCCCACCCCCTGGAGGCCCTCTGGAGGCCAGAAATGGCCCGTTTCCCGACTTCCGGTGGGCCCGGAAGGCCCGAAAATCAGTTGGCTGTCGTGTGCATGCATGCTGGAGCTGAGCTAAGGCAACGCTTGCGTGCCCACAGATATGGCTCCGAGTGCCACCTGTGGCACGCGTGCCACAGGTTCGCCATCATGGGTCTATTAAATACTTATATGTTAAAGAAAAATGTATAAATAATTTGTTTTAAAAAAATTCCAGGAGTCCAGATGTATATGGAAAGGGTATATAGCATTCTCTAGCTAAGTCCCACAGTGTTTCTGACAATAGAAGCAGATCAAGGTAGTTTTAATATCTGAATAAAAGTCTAAAGCAAACACCAGGGTTATCTTCAACAACCAATTCTAGGGAGAAAACCTTTCAATTACTTTTATTCTTTTCCTATGGAGGAAACCACTCTTAGTTTCAACAGTGATGTTACTCGTATACATTATTAGAAGCCTGTTCTGAGATATTGTTGATTTACCTGGTTTCCAAATGTATGTCCTTCATGTAAAACAAGGCTTGCTTGCACAAATCCAATTTCACTGACAGAATTTCCATTTAATCTAATGTTATCTATATCTAGCTCTTTTGCTATTATTAGGAACAGCACCACCATTCTTGGCAACTATATCAGTTATTTGAAACTAGTCTTCAAACTATGTCTATTGTGTAAGCCAGGGCTGTCAAACTCGCGGCCCACAGCCTGGATGTGTCATACGCTGGCCATACCCACACTCAGTTTAGTGAAGGGGGAAAAAGTCCTGTGACGCCGTGATGACGCAGGTTTGACACCCCTGGTGTACGCTGATAGTTGCGAGAGAACTGAGATTTGTTCAGTGATGTACAGAAAGTAATTTGAAATAACAATAAGGGAGAATATTTTTGGCTCATGGTTAAAATGAGGGGCCCTGAGCATAAGTTCTGGAAGATTGTGCAGACATTTATATGGGATGGTCTGAGGATTCTTGCCCTGGGTAGGAGGTGAACTAGAAGATGGTCTGGGTGAATAGGTAGTAAAAAAATGCTTTAAAAAAGTAAAAAAAAAAAAAAAAGGTTCCAACGATCGCGCGGCACAGCTGTGATCGTCGGAACCTCTTTTTTTACTTTTTTAAAGCATTTTTTAACTACCTATTCACCAGAACCAGTAGTAAAAAAATGCTTTAAAAAAAAAAAGGTTCCAACGATTGTGCGGCACAACTGATTGACAATCAAATGAAACCAAATGTCTATGGAGATTCTCAAGTTATCCAGGTCACAGTTGTACCAAAGGTGCTTTTTCAAAAGGCAACTGGACTTTCTGGTTTTTCTTTGAAGACGTTTCGCTTCTCATCCAAGCAGCTTCTTCAGCTTTGAGAAAAACCAGGAAGTCCAGTTGTCTCTTGAAAAAGCACCTTTGGAATAAATAAAATCAGTTTGATCTAGCGGTTAATGCAGGAGACACTTGAGTTCTAGTTCATGAAAATTTTAGCCATGAAAGTTAGCTGGCTGACCTTGGTCCAGTCACTCTCTCTCAACCCAACTCGCCTCACAGAGTTGTTGTTGTGGGGAAAATGAGATCAGGAAGATGTGTTGAATATGTTTTCCACCCTGAGGTTATTTGTAAAAAATAATAAAGGCGGGATACAAATAAATAAAATGTTGGGCCCGAGGATCAAGCCATTTTGCAAAGAAACACAGCAGTTCAACTTCCAATAGTTCTACAGCTGACAATGTCTTCATTTTTCTCGTCATCTTCTTTGGCAAAGGAGGTTTCTCAAAGACTTGCCGCATGTACAACTCCAGCTGAGGGACAGGGAGGGATTAAGAGTGGGGCCTAGAAGTCTAATCAGATCTAAAACCTCGCATCTGAGAGCCTTCTATATATATGTATATATTGCCTGCATTTCTACAAAAACCCAAATTTCTCAGAAGAGTTAATCTGTCGGCGAAGCTGTTTAACCAATAGAAAAATAATTCATATGAGAAGATGTGAATACCAGTATTCTCATTATAATTGGTTCTAAAAATAAGTCTGCATACATTGTTTAAAAAAAAAAGACTGGCTAGCTGAGCTGTATTTCTTTGAAGCTATTTAATCCAGCTCATTAATCTTAATCCTTATATTATGTCAGGTGACTGGCTTCTTCTGAGAGTTCAACAGACCTTGCTATTTTGCCCCCTCCCCCACATCCCTACATTTTTAAGGAATTGTGGAAGGAGATTGCTACAAACAGGAACACTGAATTCTCGTGAATGTCAGCAAAGCTTGCGTAAATGCACCCTCATACTGAAAGTATACCGAAGTCCACCTTTGGTTGATTAAGCATAACAGGAGCCCATGTGGTTACATTCCTTTGGGGAATGACAGCTGAATTACTACTGCTTGCCTGAAGAAAGTGGAAGTCCATGTTGAATTGTTCCATGGATATAGCACACAACATTCTTTTGTCCTGCTTTTTTGTTCTAGTAAGTTTTTTTTTTTTTTTTTAAAAGCATGCAAAATTCTACAACAGATCAGTATTAGTTAAATGGAGCTTACTTATGCATTTGATAGCACTGGAGCGACGGATCCAGAAAGCTGGCAGAATGGTTCATTGTTTTCCAGTTTGCATCATGCAGAAGCAGGAAGCATGTACAACTTCATTCCCATGGAAATATCTCTTCATACAGAGATTGGGGGATGAACATCTGTAAAAACAGAACAGGATGGGAGATCATTTATATACTGTACAGCATCTCAAGGTGTTAAGTTCTGTCAATACCTCATCTTACCACTATGGTATGTTTTGCAAATTCCTTTTTGCAGTCACAAAGGGGAAATCAATTGTCTGGACCCTAAATGACTTATTCAAATAAAGACAGTTTTGAAAATATTGAAGAAATGTATAATTTTAAATGATGCCAACTAGAAATTTGTTGACAGAAGAAAAAGCTTTCATTTTCCATTCCAACAACATATAATAATTAAATAGGTAAAAAAGAGAAAGTTTTTTATCAGTCCCACTTCAGATATCTAAAATTTATTCTGTGAATGCAATAATGAATAGTGAAGCTCACTTGTTTATGCCTTTAGGCAAACTTGCTTCTAACATTTTCTGGAATGGAAATATTAATAATATTGCCTGATCGATTGTTGAAATATTTAATTGTCTGATCTATCGTTAACAGCACTCACATGGTCCTCAAGACTATGGCAGGGTAAGTGGGAGCAGGTTAGCTGCTTTTTCTAAGATTTCTCGGAATCCAACTGGATCTAGTTACCTCATAGGGCAGATCATCCTATTCAGCCCATTAGTACAGCCTTAACCAGACAGTGGACTCACTATGACAGTGAGAAAAATGAGAGCCATCCACATCCAAAGAACTTCTCCCCAGTCAGAATAAAATACCAAGTACAGCGGGTGGGTGATCTGCATCATAAATCAGCTGAGATAAGGCCATGGTTTTTATAACCACTATGGGCTTCTGAACTCTTCTAAGCATACCAGCCCAAAACTGGATTAGAAAATCCCTGAGCTCAGTCAGCATAGGGGTCTTCAAAATCAAAAACCAGTTCTTTCAGAGATTTCATGAACCAATAAGGCACAATACACTAAGAGAATCCCCCTTGTATCTCTGATCCCATGATCAAAGGACACTCATTCAGTAAGAACAGATTCTCTCCTATGTACCCTGCAATATTGTTCTTATGGCTCATAACTACACCATGTCTCTTCCCATTTCCCACAGCTTGCAAGTACCGAGCCAGGAGAAACTGAGTTCACGCCTACCTAGCTAACCAGGACTCACTTACACAGGAATTTTATGGTTTATTGATATTTACAAACCAACGTCTCATTCTTCAGAAGTTAAAACTGCACAGATAACATATAATTAGTATAGTTTTTATTAAGATCAACAATCAGGCAATATAAGTAAGATAAAGGCAGCTTACATTTTGAGCAAAGCAGGCCTGGAACTTATTAAACAGACTGAATTAAATATCTATAGCAGTGTTGGCAAACCCTTTCCACACCGAGTGCTGAAACGGGAGCGTGTGCGTGCATGTGTGCAGGAAACGGGAAGAGCAGCCACCAGGTGCACATGCGTGCGCCGAGAAGATGATCTTCCGGTTTCTGGCATGCACATGTGCACCGGCCACCTGGTCCAGTGGTGGGCTGCCCCCGGATCGCACCGATTCTATAGAACCGGTAGTAAAACCGGTGGGAGGCTCCCCCCACCAACCCTGATGTCATCAGAACGCTTCTGCGCATGTGCGGCCCCATTGCGAACCAGTAGTAAAGGTAAGTAGAACCCACCCCTGACCTGGTCTTCTGGTTTCTGGCATGCATGCATGTGCAAACACCAGCTCGCCAGTGCGCATGCACGCGCCAGAAACCGGAAGCGCTCCGGGCGACTGCTCTTCCAGTTTCCAGCACTCCTGAGTGCGTGAAGACCAGCTGGCCAGCGCCTCAGAACCCCGAAGAGCAACGGGCAACGGCTCTGCGTGCCACTTCCAGCACGTGTGCCATAGCTTCGCCATCATGGATCTACACCCTTGTGATTACTAGGTATAATGTATGAGCTAAAAGGGCACATCTTTTATTTGTTGGTCTTGAAGTAGTTTTTCATTTAAGTGTAAGATAGATTGTTTAATTAACTCGCCTTGATTGGGACATATGCTTTCATAACATTTTATATAATTGCCATTTTAATTTTAAAAATAACTAAAAGGAAAGTAAATGCCCAGCAGTGAAATGAAGAAGCCAGGACAAAAACAGTTCTTTCTATCACATAGAAAACATTGTGTGCTTGCCAAACAAAAAGAGTAATGGAAATATAAATGAATAATTTTGTCAACTGCTGTTTCTCTCTTCTCTCTCTTTTCAAGCAAATGAATTCCCTAGACATGGTATTCATTATAACTGAGCAGGAAAATTGGGGTGATTGCTCTTAAAGGTGGACAAATACACTACAGGGAAATTTGTTTGGTTGATTATGTTCATACAAAGAGCAAAACCCAGGAAACAGAAGGAAGGGGTCTGATAAATATGGATTCAAAGCAGTGGTGAAATTTAATTTTTTTTACTATTGGTTCTGTGGTTGTGGCTTGGTGGGCGTGGTATGGCTTGGTGGGGTGGCAGGGGAAGGATACTGCAAAATCTCCACTCCCACCTCACTCCAGGGGAAGGATACTGTAAAATCCCCATTCCCTCCCCACTCCTGGGGGAAGGATACTGCAAAATCCCCATTCCCTCCCCACTCCTGGGGGAAGGATACTGCAAAATCCCCATTCCCTCCCCACTCCCAGGGGAAGGATACTGCAAAATCCCCATTCCCTCCCCCACTCCTGGGAGGAGGATATTGCAAAATCTCTATCCCCATCCCACTCTGGGGCAAGCCGGAGGTGGCATTTGCCAGTTCTCCGAACTACTCAAAATTTCCACTACCAGTTCTCCAGAACCTGTCAGAACCTGCTGGATTTCACCCCTGATTCAAAGGCATGTATCCTATAGGTCAATCGTATCTGGGCTGCCAAAGCCCAGAGAAGTATTAGATAGCACCAAAGAGAAACAGGAAACTCTAACTGTTTGCAGATAGCTAGTGACTGTTCAGGTTTTTGCAGCCCAATTTTAATATGAATACAGGTAGTCTTCAATTTACAAACACAATTGAGCCCCAAATTTCTGTTGCTAAGTGAGACAGTTGTTAAGTGAGTTTTGCCCCATTTTACGACCTTTCTTGCCACAGTTGTTAAGTGAATCACCGCAGTTGTTAAGTTAGTAACCCAGTTGTTAAGTGAATCTGGCTTCCCCATTGACTTTGCTTGTCAGAAGGTCACAAAAGGAGACCACATGACCCCAGGACACTATGACCGTCATAAATATGAGTCAGTTGCCAAGTGTCTGAATTTTGATCACATGACCATGGGGATGCTGCAACGGTGATAAGTGTGTAAAATGGTCATAAGTCACTTTTTTCAATGGTGGTGTAACTTCAAACAGTCACTAAATGAATTGTTAACAATTTGTAATGTTCCCCTGAATTGAAATGTTATTTGTTTGGGGTCCAATCCAGCTACTTTAAAACATCCAATAGGAACAGTCAATGAACCTGCACTGAGAGACAAAACTCACTTAACAACTGTTTCACCTAGCAACAAAAATTTGGGGCTCAATTGTGTTCGTAAATTGAGGTTGTAGTAGCGGTTGGGTTGTGCTTCCAGATTTGTTCCTTGACATAGTTACACATGTAGGAACAGTATTATAAGCATTTAGCCAGCCCAGATGGGGAGACAGGGAAAGCCTGTAACTATAGCATTGCCTTTCCCTCTTCCTCCAAAATGCACAAACTCTATTGTCTATCAGAGGGACTATATTTAGTGGACCAAAAATTATTTCTGAGATCCCAAAGAAAACTAGACTTAGCTGGGGGTACTAGCAGACAATCACCCACTGATTCCACAGTGGTTTAAAATATTTATCAACGTTCCATCTGGAATAAAATGTCAATATGGAATATTGCTAAGTCACATGTAGCTGTTTATGAAATTGATGTTTATGAAGTTGAGATTAAATAAGGAACCCCTGGCTCAGTATTAAATCAAAACTGAATCTGCTTTTATCTGCCTTTTTACAAGGCACTGGGTTTCTCCAAGAACTATTCCAGCACGTTTTACAACTGTACATTATTATCTTTAATGATATACAGATTTTGGTTTGCCTTCTAAGCAATTAAGAGCCATCAAAAAAGTTTTGAGCTGAACAGGCACAAACTGAATTTTTTTCTGTATTGTCTATCCTATTTTGGGTTCCTCTGCTTTTAATAAATCATAACAGTATTTTCCACTGCAGTACTCCGACAAAACATTACCCTGCTTTGTGCCATACAGTAATAAAACTAGCAGAGGTGGACATTTAAGGGGGGGGGGATAATCAATTTGGCTTTGCTAGCTCAAGCTTGTTAATGAATTTTTAGGTGACATACAGTTACTTTGATAGGTGTAAAAGTAAACCATAAGAAGAGAATTTATATAAAGTGATCCAGATTAAGGCATAAACTATTCTCTGAGAAGATGCTGATTTGTCAAAGTTAATTGCCTGCTGAACCTGATTACAGTAAGTCTATTCCCATAAGTCAGGGAAGCAAAAAAAGTACTGTTCCTTTTATTTACGTGAATATTATTTTTAGCCTTCAATAAAATGACAATCAATGCACTTATCAAAGCAATTATATATTGGAGCAATTCATATTGTTAATAGATTGTGTATGTTGGTCTATCAGCAGAGGCTGTAGAAACCTAATGGACTGGTGATGCGGTTTTTCCTATAGGCTGAACAAAATTGAACCTGCATATGTCATTCTATGTTTAAAATCCTTTAGAGAGGCATTGTGGCACCTCTATGTAGGTTTCAAACAATTCTTGAATGATTAAAAATGAATAAATTGTCAAAACCCAAAACAGCAAGAGCCTTGGTGGCGCAGGAGACTAAAGCACTGTTAAGTAACACCAGCTGCCTGCAATTACTGCAAGTTCAAATCTCACGAGGCTCAAGGTTGACTCAGCCTTCCATCCTTTCAAGGTAGGTAAAATGAGGACCCGGTTTGTGGGGGCAATAAGCTGACTTTGTATGAAAAAGAACACCGCTTTGGGGGGGGGGCGAAAGTCCTACTAAGCAGGTATATACAAAAGTATGAAGGCTATTGCT